CATGTTCTCTATTTGATTCATGAGCCACAGCATCCTTTGTTAGCCTTATAGAACATCTTGGAAAACAAGATAAATACCATAAGTTATATTGCAAGGAAAAATAATTTTAATTGCTTACTTTATAAAAGATGGAGAAACCTCAATTTTTTTAAATACAAAACTACAAATCATATATACTATAAACTGCAAATGGTTCTGTGCAATTAAATAATATCACTTTCAAGACTACTCTAACAAGTAATCTTATAAAATTGAAGTAGGAGTTAATAGAACATACGTGAGCTTGACATTTTTCCACCATACTGTGTTTCTGAAACGACGTGCTTGCTTTCTGAAGCGGAAGGTATTTCCTTGCATGTTGGCAGTTTTATCTACCAGCAATTCTAAACGATCACCTCTCTCTAAAACTTTGTCAATATTCTCTATCATGACATTACGCACCTGTAATATACAGCATCAAACAGTCAGAGGTTAGCTAAAACTCAATCTCAAGCATTATCATAACTGGTCAGCACCTGAACAAGACACTGGACCAGACCATCAAAATCTAAATCACGCTGATACGATTGATAACTAAAATTTATAAACAATCATTACATACAAAACCTACCTGACTCATTTCTCCTTTTAGTCGATTTATCCTATCTGCATTTGGATCATTTGAGTAATATTCCATTTGCTGGCTGAGAACTCTTGAAAATTCATCATTCATGCCATAAGGAACAGCTGAGAAAACTGCACGGCCATAGGTTCTCACAAATCGCTGATGAATATCTTCAAGAAATGCAAAAGGAATTCTCCCTACATAAAAACATCGTACATTAAATATGTTTTACACTATAGAAAGTGTGATAGGAAGAAGCTCTAGCTCAATTGTTCTTATACGATCTAGTAGAAATATATGAGGCAACAACATAGCAACTTCAGTCTATACCAGCTATAGAAGTGATAATACTAAGAGGCTATAACAACCAGTACTACAACCAACTGGGAGCTATAGAAGATGACAAACTGCAACTGAGATGATAGAAATTCTCAAGGAAGTACAGGACATTACAATTTCACCAACTGAGCAATCTCTAATTTTTACAAGCAAGCATTGGTGTCAACTTCATCAGCATTTGAAAATCAAATCAAAAGGCCTTAGAGAGCCAAGTCTACATCCAATTTCACTCCAATGGTAATACAAATACCACATAACAATTGAAAATCGAGCTAATACTATTAAATGCAGTGATATTTCGAGTGTCAAAAAGATATTTTGATCACATAATCAAATCAAAAGGCCTCAAAAACAGAAATCCAAAGAGAATTGAGTTTAAGGAATGGTAATTTACTCACTTCCGGCGGTATCATCGGCCATACAGAGAACGGTAAGGCCATCAGTACGCTTGACATGGAAGATGTATCGATCTTGAGAATAAGAAACATTAGAATCGTTGTTCCCTGGTATCTTCTCCAGTATCTGCCTGGCGATCGCGCTGGCGTTCGTAGACGCCGCAGTGAACTCCGCCAGCACCACCGATCCCCGCGCCACTAGCGCGTACAGTATCGCCATCTAGAGCCAATACCTAATTTTTTTTCCCCTCCCTATCTGATCGGCGAATCGATTGACAATAACAGATCCTTTCAATCTAAAAATCTCCTTTGGCCGAAAAAAAAAAAATCTAGAAAATTCTCCTCCTTTTCTATAAATAGGAAACCGGTGGGGCTGTGTCACAAAAAGTAATTGAAAAAATCGAGCATTGAGCTGGAAAATAAGTGACGATAAGAGATGGAACTGAAAAAGATTGAAAAAATGAACGCGATTTTGAACTCTAGGGATCGGAAATTTTCTTTTTGGCGGAAAGGGGAATTGAATTGAAAGAGATGATGGGTGGGAAGAAAGGTGCGGGGGAAGGAAGGGACGCCCGTTGGAAGTTTCTCTTTGATTGTTACTGCTTTTCCGTTTTGATAATGTATGATAGTACTTTCTAGTTGTCGTGATATGGTTTACGGAGTTAATTTATCCGTTAAATTTCGTGTCGCGACACGGAAGAAGCCAAGCTACCTTAGGTAAAAATTTACTTTTAACCCCTCATCTTATAAAATTTTAAAATTTTAGCTTATCACCTTATATTATAATATATTTAATCTCTTATTTTATTATATATATAAGTTTTAACTCTTTACTTATTAAAATTAAAAAAAATAGTCCTCAATTTAGACTGACTATTAATTCTATTAACTGAAAATAAGTTTTTATCAACTAATAGTTAATTAATAACTAATTAACAAAATTAACAAAATATTATAAAATTAATTCTGTTAACACTATTAACTGAAAGAAAATTTTTGAAAACTAACAGTCAACTAACAGAACTAATAAATTATTATAAATTAAGGCTTATTCTTTTCAATTTTAATAAATGAGGGGTTAAAAATGTCATAATATAATATGATAAGTTAAAACTTACAAATCTAATAAGATGAGAGGCTAAAAATGTCATAATATATAATATAAAATGAGAGGTTAAAACCTTTAAATTTAACAAAATGAGAGACTAAAAATAGAGTTTTGCCTGCTCCTTCACTCTTGGAGTTCCCTCTTTTTAAACACTTTTTATATAAACAAATAACGTGCAATA